ACAGTAACGAGAGTTGAAAGAAGTTTGCGTCTTACTCAGAGCATCCTTCCATTCCCAAAGCAAAAGCCACTGAGGGTCGGCACGTGTTTTTATACAGACGATAAATTTTCATATCTTTCTTCTGTAATTACATGTTTTAGTTTTTGGAAAACTACAATTCGAGCAATAACATGACTATCTTTAACTTTTTAGTTTGAAATCACTACAGAAATCTAAGCCTTTCACGTGGTTAAGTGACAGTTGTTAGACGGGATTGCTAATAATAAATATTACTATCATTATTACTTCAGCGAATGTGAATTTGTATTGCCTATTTCGAATATAATAAATATAATAAAATATAATTAAAAGACAATATAATGTTAGAAGTATTAATTTTGAGCATACTTTGAAAGTTGCGAACTCTACTCCGTAGCACTCATCGTAAACAGTGATTCTTTCTTCGATAGTTTTCAATTTCGGTTTGCTATCCTGGAAGACGTAAAAATTTGTAACGAACATCATTTAAATATCTGCCAATGACAAAATTTCTGCTTACAGTATTCTGCATGCTTATTGTTCAACCTTCACAAAGGGTAATAACTTATGCTTTCATGTGCATAGCGCATTCATTACTTGCAAGAAACGACCACACTCTCAACAAATTTACTCGTATTAACAATTTTTTAGAGCTAAGCATTGATATGTTTCCGTTAAAAAGATTATCTAGAATAGTTTAAAGAGGTCTTTACCTTTTCTGCTAGGCAGTCGAGACTCCGCGTAACACCATAGCAAAAATCATCGTGTTCTAATTTTTTGTCAACATTGATAAATCTGCTCACTCCTAGTATCTCTGCGCATTCATAAAAAATTCTGAGACACAAGTCATCTTTACCAAGTTTACCTTCTGCCGTCTTAAAAGATGTTATAATTATTAGTGTGGCTAGAGCAATTGTTAGTGCCATCTCCAGATCTCAACAAATCTTATAAACTTGCTTCTTACAAATAATTCGGCCTTTAAGTAGATTACGCTGTCTACAGTGAATTAACATAAAATTAATAAATGATATATAAATATGCAAATGATACGGTAACAATAATCACTCCGACAATATTGTTTAATATGAAAAGTTCGAAACGTTACATTGTTGGGAATATATCAGTACATCGCTTTGGTAGTCAATCACACAGAAATATTTACCAGTATTGGTGTACAGTATCACTGACTTCCACTTTGCTGAATGATGCAGGTCATGCTTGAATGTTCAGAACATCTGAGAGAATGAATCCAGCGGCATTAGGGAAAATAAGCCGTGAAAAGTTTCGGATAACATTTCACAAAGGCTCAAAATTGAGTTTAGTTGACAATGATTTTAAGACTTCTCTTTCATTCTCAACTTATGCTAATTTCGAACATAAAACTAAACTCAATTTTCAGGCAAATTACAGACAAGAAAATTTTGCTGCAATCAACACACAATAGCTTTTTCCTGAAATCTGGTTTTGAATTTTTTCCTTCTGTTGCCGAAAATATTGTGTATTCACTACAGTAATTGTTCGAAGATTTGGAGTGAGGGATTGGTCGGAAATGAACTGAGATCAAATGACAAGTGTGAAAGAGCTGCTTTTTCAGTGTGCGGAGTTTGCTTAGCATTGAAGTGATTACAGTAAGCAAAGAATGATTGGACAAGACCATTTCATATTCATTAAAGAAATAAATTGCTAGCTGATCAACATAGCAGTGACGTTTTAACATTTTGATAGACATCATATAAATGTAATTTTGGTTTTTTCTGAGAATTCTCGACCCATTGTGAACACAGGATCTGATCACAACAATCATAATTTGAAAGGAAAAGGTTGCGGTCAGAATATCAAGCATTAGTGTCCACTCAGAATACTCAAAATTGATATCCGCAAAGTAAACATCAAAATGTTAGCAACAAAAGATTCTTGCAGAACAGTTTTGCACCATATATATGCTTTT